AATCATTTGATTCAGGTGTGTTGACCCAGGGTGAGCTCTAAAACCTGCAGGACTCCAGGCCCTTTTAATGGAAATCTGTGGGTGGCGTCTGGAAGTAGCTGGGCTTCTTCCCAGACTTTTGTCCTGATCATCCCCAATCTGTAAGTTTTCTGCACACACCACATTCGTCCTCGCGTCTGCAGCAGTGGGGGGGTCTCCTGTTTTTTAATCAGTTAAAGGGTTTTTGTAAATATCACAGATTTTAAATGAAAAAAAATGGATGTAGCCTCTGTGACACCATCCACAGTTTGATTGGTAATTAATTTCAAACATGTAAACAATATAAGAAAATAAGAGAGAAAAAATACTATACAAAAAAAAATCAATACATTTCTATATAGGTACCGTTCTGATTAATTTACACGTTGAAAGGGGTTTAAAACTGTGTTTGTGGTTCGGCTCCATCATGTTAATTTTTTTTATTAGAAATATGTTTGGACAAGAGGCTGTTGGCTAATAGCAAGCTGTATCTATAAGATGTGCAGGCGACATGCACAGATGTGCTACATCAGAGACGAGTAACACGCGAGGATTTCACTCGCTGAAACTGGAGCACAGACTTCTTAAACAGGCCGTATCACACAGGTAGGCACAAACCTTATTATATGTCAGGTAATTCTGTGAACACGTCCTGCTGAGGTTTCAAATCAGCACTAACAGCTGATTAGTGCTAACAGGAGCAGGTCAGAGGAGATTGTGTGTTTTTGTGTCTAACAAACAGTGCAGCCTGTCTCCACTTCTGTCCCTGCATTCAGCTGAAAATCCCATCTTCTCGTCTATAGCAGTGTTTAGAGGTAAACACACCTCCTCTACATCGTTAATGACTGAGTAATGTGAGGGTGACAATATGTCGAATTCTAAATATTAATTTGTAAGTAATGAAATTTGAAATAAGGGGGTAGGAACAGAAAAAGTGTAAACTTCATCCTACTCCTTTTTGAGCATAGACATTGTGTACACAGAGATATTCATGAGAATGTGTTTTTCTTATTTTTTTCTTGTTATTTCAGTTATATTTGCATGTTCGAAATAAAATCTAACCGTCTGTAACAGAAAAACTGTTAGCCATGGATGGATGGATAGAGCAAACTATCCATCTAAGAAGACATTGGCAGTGTTTGGTTCTCTTGACCGGGAGAACAAAAGACGGCGATAAACATCAACACAGGGAGAGACGGCTGAATTTCTGCAGACTGAACTCTCTTTGGAGCCTCCTGTTTCTATCCTCCCAAACATTTGGTTCAGACCTCCAGGTGTCATGTGAGAGCTTCACATCGTTACCCTAAACTTTGGACTTTTTTCTGTAAGGTTTCTTTGTACTAGTACTCCCTGATTGTGCTCCCCTGCTGAGCTGCAATGGATGTGCTAAAATAGCCTAAAGATACAGAAACCTTGGAACATTCCCACCTCAACTGCCTCAACATGTCTTTCTAGTTTTAATGTAAAATGAGGACTGACAATTTTGAAATTCACAAAAATGTAATCTGTGTAACAGGAAGTTGTAAACCAGTAAGACAAGATGCTGTACTAGAATCTGTCA